CTTGTGCTGCGTTTCCGTAGACCGGTTTATTGCGAATCGGTTTCCTTTCCGTTATCAGGACATTGTAACTAAGAAAAGATGCTGTAAGGTGATTATTTTGGTGTGGCTGATTTCATTAGATCCGTGGGGAAATATCGCAAGTGCAGTGCTTTGGTTGTCTTTGGCATTTGTAACATTCATCACTTCATTATTTGTGGTCACTTTCTGTTATATGTTTATGTTTAAAGCTGCACGACGTCAATGCAGAAGGATGTTTCCCAGCCAAAATCGTCAAAGCTTCCAAATAAAAAACATTCTATGAAAACATTCTAAGGAAATGGTACTATGAAAAATTTCAAAGCTATGAAGATGGTCAGTTATATTTTAGGTGTTTACATTATTTCTTGGATGCCCAGTCTGGTCTTACTCGTAGTTCATTCTTATTATACAGCGACGAATCATCTCTGTAACGACATCAAAGTAGACAAAGTTGTATGGCCTTGGATTGAGACAAACGCTTTTACTTCATCAGAGATCAACCCATTGATTTTCTATGTCAGAAATAGCGAATTTCGCCAAGCCTTTCGTCGCACCGTCCACTGGCTGCCCTTTGTTCACGGACAAAATTCAGCAAACGTTAACCTCAGCCAAAAACCAAAGCGAAGCCAAATGGCTCGAAAAGTTGGAAATCCTGTCAGTTTTGCAAGTAAAGAGACAAAGCTTTAAGGAAAATTCAAGAAAAAAGTGCTGTTGCCTAATTATAAGATAAGTCCCTTCATAAAGACACAATTTTCAAAACATCAATTTCATTCTTCGTCCATTCCGCATATAATTCCCTTTCATAATTATTTGTTTACACTTAGATGTAATTAAAAGTTTCAAGTCTTTCATGACATGAAATTTTTCCTCATCAGACACTCTTCGCTGAGCTTGATCAGTTAATGATGCTGGCAAGAAGCAGGAAGGACTGACTTGGCAGCTTGAATGAAAATTAAATGAAAGTTAGCACTTGTTTTCAGTGAAATCCGTAACAGAATTAAGTCTTGAAAATTTTGAATCATTCTTTTGCATTTGTTGAAGGGATTTGAGAGTATAGAAAGTGAAAGTATTTTTTACATTCAAATTTAGGCTCAAAGTTTTGTTTCAACAACTTGCATTTGAATTTCTTTAATTAACCTCTTCACGTCTGCTTCTCTGAAATAAAAGCTTTTGAAATGTTATGCACCTGTGAGTTTGTCAACAAAAATCCATCTCGTATTCATTTCAATTTTTTGGTGATCGGCGAAGGTCGCAAGTTTCGCGAAGGTCATGTCACCGATTTGTTAAAATTGATTTAAAATAAAGTCTACACGCCGTAAATTTTTTAAACATTTTTCCTAATCAATGATAAAACCATGTAAGAGGCCATTTCTAGTAATAGTCATGTAGAATGAACAGACAGCAGAATTGGTCGCTGAAAAATTGCTGAGTGTACGGCTGGGTTCAATTTTCCTATTCGGCAATTATCAGAGTCCAAGCCTTCTCATATTGTAATATTGTAATTTTTCTTAGCCGTTGTTTTTTTCAGTCGTGGTGTGTACTGAGCATTAACTTTAAAGCATCTATTGAGTCTAAAGTCAAGATCATATTGACGGGAGATCGAATGTTCAGTTTTCCTTTTTCGAGGAAGTGAACTGACTTCCGCAAGAGACACCAGAAGATATAATTTTCGTTCCAATGACGCTTTACGACTTGCTCCTTGCAAGGGTAAACACTAGCTACGCTCGGCGATCTTTCTTTTCGTGCAGCCTCTCCTAAACTGTGGAACGATCTTCCCTGTTCTGTTAGAAAAATCGAATCGTCAAACAGGTTTAAGAAAGCTATTAAGACTTTTTTCTTCGCACAATTTGCTTTAACTCTTCGTATGTAATTTTATATTTCTGTATTTCTTACTCTGTTCCTTTTTTTATTTTTATTTTTTTGAGAGGGCACTGTAACGAATCTTGCAATCTGATTGGTTTTTTACCCGGTCAATATTTTCCTATCTCTGCCTAGGGCCACGGTAACGCTTTCGTGAGTCGCCAAGTACATCCCAACTTTCGTTGCCATTTTTCATAAATATATCTCCTTTTTCCGGCTGGGCAGTATTTAAAAGCAAACACGTCGGTCACTACCTCAAGCCGATGAATAACTCATGAATCCTCTCCTTTCTCTCACTCAAATCACTTTGGTTGACAGAAAAATATTGGTTTCCATAGTGTCATTACGTTGGTTGACAAGCGGCCTAAAACCCGTCTGCAACTAATTTTAATCGTTCACAAAAAGTACCTAGAAAGTTAAAACATGAGATATTTGGTTACAGTTAAACTGAACGATGGAACTTTCATTCACTTAAGACCTGAATTTTCTCAAGCAATTTGTTCGCAGTGAAAGAGCGAGGGAAGTTTTAATTTAAGTTCTACAACAAATATACGCTCTCGGTGAGTCTTTCCAAGTCCGTTCAATTTGAACATTTGTACTGTAAATTGCACAACAGAAACTGAAGGAATTTTTTGAGAAAAGGCCGCATTAAATCCCCTTGTGTCTCGTTGGAGTGTGCCATTCGGATTAAGTTTCTGTGAAGGAAAGACCAGATTTACACACGCCATTGCAGCAAACAAACGAGCAAACTCTCACAACTTCAAAATAAAAAAAATTGAATTTAATCACAATTACTCTCCTCGCCGTCTACTTAATGCACAGAGGTAAATCTTCGTACATTAATGAATCGTCGATGAGAGTGAATAATACTTCCCGTTAGATCATTGACTATTTTTGAAGAAAACATTGTCGTGACAGTCCTTGCCAAACTAGTTCCGTTGTTTTTCAAATGTTCTTACGCTTTTTTTACTTACGCGCTGACAGTTGTCAGATTGTGACAGATACTTGTAAAAATAATGTTCCAAAGTTTGTTTGGAAGCCTTTTAAATTATCGTTACGGAAATGAAAATGTTTCGCTGGGGCATCTCTCTTGAATTTTCATCACCTCTATTTTAACTACCATTTACTCGCTCAGTAGCAGTCAAAACTGTTCGGTTTATGGAAGATCTTGCCGTATTTAGAGCCCTAAATCATTAGGGTTCTTTCGGAAAGAATGCCGTCAAGTTTCAAAAAAATGAATATGTTATTTACCGGCTAAGGGTCGGTCCGTATGGTGAAAAACTGCGGCCTCGTTCTTGAAAATACTGCCCGAGGCCTGCCGAGGGCAGCATTTTCAAGACCGAGGTCACAGTTTTTCAGCATATGGACCGTCCCTTAGCCGGCAAATAACATATCTATATTGTAGCGTTAATATCTTGGTATAGCTGTAATGTAACTGTACTGCGCAATAAGAAATTTTATACTGATGCTTGCGCAATGTAAGGAAATGAATTATTAAATCATTGCTATTAATGGTTGAAAAGCTAATACTTCTCTTTTGACACATAGCCGTGGATGTCAGATTATCCATTTTAATTATATGTTAAACAGCGCAAGCTGTAAATGAAATTCGAATTCTGTCTCAAATAATTTATTCACCTCACGCGCGGAAGATCGAAACAAAAGTCGACAACTCGTTTAACTGAGGAGTCGAGTTTCAGGGCGGTTTATATGTTGATATTGGAAGCCGTGTGGAAATAATCAGTCAATTTGGTCCTAAAGCAACCCTTTGCCGAGAAGAAACATGAATTCTAACTGCACAGAAGATAGACCGAGCGATGCCGCATTCATTGTTCTATCGTTGTGGCTCGCTTTGTCTGGTTTAGCAGCTGTATCCGGTAATACAGTTGTGTTATGGCTGTTCTACAAAAACAAGTCTCTACGAACAGTTTCTAACAGATTTTTGGTATCGTTGTCCATAGCGGATCTCTTGGTGGGAGCTGTTGTGGAGCCAGCCTTCCTAGTCGGATATCTTCCCCAGCCTTCACATAATCAGGAAATCGAACATTTCTTATGGATTCACTCTACAGCAGCAACGACATGGAATTTGTGCTGTGTTTCTGTTGACAGGTTCACTGCAGTTTGCTTTCCTTTCCGTTATCAAGTGATTCTAACAAACAAAAGATGTTGTGTAGTGATAACTGTGATCTGGATAATCTCTCTGTTCCTTCCTTTCCCGATAATGTTTGTCAAAAATGGGGCAACTGATCATCAAGCAGAACTGTGGTTGTCATTTGCTTTTATATTATTTGTGTTTCCGATTATCGTAGTATCTTTCTGCTACATTTTTATTTTCAGAGCAGCTAATAAACAACACAAACAAGTGAAGAAGGAACATCAACGCACAAATTACAGCTCACGCCAGGCTCTAAACAATTTCAAAGCTATCAAAACAGTTGGACTTATTCTGGGTGTTTTCATCATTACATGGATGCCATGTTTAATCTTGGATCTTGTCATTTATTATTACCGTAAAATAGAGCATGGACAATGCAACGAACACGAATTGCATTACATGGCGTTGCCTTGGGTAAAAGCAACGGCTTTTACTTCATCGGCGATCAACCCACTGATATACTATTTCAGAAATAGTGAGTTTTGCCAAGCATTCAGACGTACCTTTAATTTTGATCGATTGCACTGTGCTCATCATAAAAATGCACCAGACCTTAGAGCAAAGCAAGAGAAAACCCGGAAGGCTGGAAATGTTGGAGCTCGTGGAAAATTTCCAAATAAGGAGACACAGCTGTAAGGACAACTAAGGCGAATACTACCTGTTAGTCATAAACTTGGCCACCCACCTTTCATGAACAGATTCTGATTAAGCAGAACATTGAGCCTTTTATTTGAACCTTTTACATAATTCTCTTCGATCTGCGAGAAATTTCAATTCAAGCCAAGAGAGGATAGACAGGATATGCTTTCTTGTTTGAGCAGAAGCATATAGTGTTCGGCTTTCCATTGTTGGAAAGGATTCTTCTTTAACCCGGAAAGGTGGTCACCAATTAGCCTTAGTTATAAGCTGTGGTCAGTTAATCTGGGGCGATGTAAGAAAAACTTGACAGTTATTGGCAGATCTAGTGACGAACCTTTTCATAACGTAGATCCACTCTGAATCTTTGAGCCCTTGCGAGCGAGCTACAGATTGTATATGGATTATATTTATATATCAATGGGCTAGAATATTTCACCGTAAGTACCTTTCTAGCGTACCGTGGTAATGCTGATTTATAAATAGGATGTTGTGGACCGGCTCTAGACTGTTAAGCATGGCTAAATAAGTGTAACTCGAATCAAGCTGTTTTTTGTGTGGTCACTCGATAAGCTATCAATGAAGCTCAGGATTGAGTTTCGCAACAATTTTTGTAGTTTGATATCTTTTTGATTTATGTAGTTTTGTAGTAGGTAATTTGATGAAGTTAAGAATGTACTTAAATGAATTCCACGTTTCCACCAATAAACAGCAGATAAAAAAGAAAACAGTACGTTAGTTTGAGTAACATATGGTCCATAAAAAGGAAAAGCGATTGCAAATTTCATTTCTGTAAGCTTATTTTCAAACTTCTACGGTCACCGTTTGCCAACCGCAGAACATGGATGCTGCTTGCCCGGAAGAACAACCCAGCACTACAGCTTCGATCGTTCTATCTTTGTGGTTCACATTGTCTGGTTTAGCAGCTGTAGCTGGAAACGCAGTGGTGTTGTTTTTGTTCTACAAAAGCGAGTCATTGCGAACAATTTCCAACCGCTTCTTAGCCTCGCTGTCGGTAGCAGATCTTTTCGTTGGGCTTGTCATTGACCCAATCAGGATAGCCAGCGGTTGTCTCATTCGGCCACCGGTTGATAGTGATTTGTTTTTCTTCACAGACATGCTCTAGGTTCACACTACCACCGCAACAACTTTCAGCTTGTGCTGTGTTTCTGTAGACCGGTTTATTGCGATTCGCTTTCCTTTCCGTTATCAGGAAATTATTACAAAGGTGCTACACAGTCATTATTTTGATATGGCTATTTTGATTGGCACTTCCTTTCTCGACGATATTAGTGAATAACGACAAAGACGATGCAGCGTTGTGGTTATCTCTTGCATTTATGTTATGTGTTACTCCTTTATTTGTGGTTTCTATTAGTTATATTTTCATGCTCAAAGAGGCCAGACACCAATGTAGAAGAATAGCACCCGGAGAAAATTATCTGAACCATAATAATCGCAGAGTTCGTATTGTGAAAAACTATAAAGCTATTAAAACAGTCGTAAGTGTTATGTTGTTTCATGGATGCCCAGTTTGGTCTTACTTTAGTTCAGTGTTATCATTTTGTGGCAAATAACCTCTGTGATTCTGATGAAATAGATACTACTGTATGGCCTTGGGTAGAGGCTATCGCTTTTACCTCATCTGCTATTAATCCATTGATATACTACTTTCGGAATAAAGAATTTCGCCTCGCATTCCGCCGCACCTTTCGATGGTTACGTTAACGCCTTACAGTAGAAAGTACACGTCAGTTTGGTTTGAGACCGGATCGGGGCCGAATATCTGGAAATTGTTGGACTGGGACAGAGAGATAGAGACAGAGCTTTAGGGTCAACCTCAGTAAAATAGGACTGTTTTTATTGACATAAAGGTGGCAAGCCATTAACGAGTGATGGTGTAATGGAATGATATCTCCAGACGTTTATTAGTTTTGTGCTAAAAGTAAGTGCTTAAGAATTAAAACTTACCCATTATTTTGAGAAGCATGCATGGCGTTTTACCTGTGTCTCTTTCTGCGAGCTTTTTCAATCACACTCTAAGGCCATTGACTACCCAGGGACTAAAAAAGCAACTTTATGCAGCCGCTGTCACTCGAGCACAGTTCTTTTATGTCTATATTTTCGTTTTATTTTACCGCCACAGAAAAACCCTCTGGGGACCACAGGCACAATAGGAAACGACTACAGGTCGGATTGGAACAAACGTTTCTTGTTTTTTATTTGGGAGGAAGGGATAACATTGTAGGAAATCTGAGGGACGGTTACTAAGGAGACTGACTATCCATGTAATAAAATATGTGTTCATTGTTTATCGAGGTCTGAGTACGAGCAAACGGTATGTCTCTGTCATGTTCTTTTATCGTTTCTCGCATTGATCTCCTAGTTTCACCGATATGCACTTTGCCGCATGCAAATGGATCTTGTAAACGACACCGTCTTGTTTTGATGGTTTCAGGGCGTCTTTAGGTCGTACTAAGTGAGACCTAATCAAGTGTTGTGTCCGACTCGAAAACGGTTCGTATGGCTCGATGTTGTAGGCAGCGGCAAAGAACCTCTGATACACCCTTGATGTAAGGGAGAACGGCAGTAGATATAAGTTCCTGCGCGGGTTTTTTGTTGGCTGTTACCTTGTTGTCTTTGCGAGTTTTAATACAAATGAAGAAGGATAACCATTAGAAACAAGTACTGATGACAGGTGTTTCTTTTCCTCAGAGATAACTATCTTCTTTTCCCTAGAGACTAAGTAAATGAATGCAATTTTCTCAACTTTTACTGAGCAAGTCTCCGGATGTGTTCAGTTTCAGCTTTGATCAGTTTCTGAAGCACTTTGGGATAGCCAGATAACATTGTCAATGGTTAACAGTTCCCTTTCCCTTAATTATAAGTAGTTTAGTGTCCAAGCCCTCACAGATTGTCATCGGGCTAATTAGTAAAAAAGCGGTGACTACATTTTGAAGAATATGAGTTGTTTATGTTAAGTAAAGAAGATATTGACGGCTGGACATAGTAAAGGATATTCAAATATGGAGACAAAGCTAAAAAGCAGTCAAATGCACTTAGGTGCTGGGGTATTCTGCATCAATTTATCTAAGTTAAGGGATAATTTCAATTGAAAGGTTTTCCAAAAATTCTCTCCTTTGGGATACAAGATGTCGATTTCTGACTGAGATATAACGAGTTAACTCCGAGTAAACATGTTTCCAACGGTATTCTGCGCCGCAAAAATTTAAAATGTTTATGTTACAAAAGAAGCCATCTGCGAACAGATTATTTATGCTAAAATTTGACCTGTTCGTAACCGAGCGAAGTGGCTTAGTAGGAACGACCTCATACGTGTTTCCAGATCTCTCCTTTCTTCCGAATCACCTAACATGAATATTGGTTGCTTGGAAGAAGAACGACTTATTGGTGAGACAACCATCGCAGCCCGGGTAACTTGAAGTTCATTTGTGTTGTGGCTGATCGACACAAGCAAATAAATATTCAACCGTCGAAAATTTAAAAAAATCAATGAAAGGTATTTTGGATTATACTAAACCTAGAGACAGGACAGGGAAAAAAAAAAACGCTCTGCTGATGAATGAATTATTGTCGTTATCATTAATGTTATTAACATTATGTCGAACCAAACGAATTTCTGCCTTAATTCTGTGCCATCTTCAAAAGAAATTAAAACATTCATATCACGAAAAAAGCCATCTGCTACCAAACTATTTAATCATTTGATGCAAAATTTGAATAGAAGTTGACATATAACTGGTAAGCGGAGTTAGGACAGGTTGTCTGTAATTGCGCTTATGGATAATCAATAGCTAATCTGTAACTCCTTCAAAAGTTTTTCCAACCTTTCCCTCCTAACTTACAAAGGTCTGAACATGAACCTTAACTGCTCTGAAGAACGACTGAGTAGTGGGGCATCCATATTTCTTTCACTGTGGTTCTCCTTGTCTGGTTTGGCAGCAGTGGTGGGAAACGCAACAGTGTTGGGGATTCTCTACAAGAAGGAGTCTTTACGTACAATTTCCAATCGATTCTTGGCCTCATTGTCCGTAGCAGACTTTTTCGTTGGGCTTGTTTTGAACCCAATAATTTTGGCCACGTATCTGTCGCAGCCTCAAAGTGGACATGGAAGTATGACTGAGATCATACATCTGATCTTATGGATTCACTCTGCTGGCGCCACATCGTTAAGTTTGTGTTGTGCTTCCGTTGACAGGTTAATTGCGATTCGCTTTCCCTACCGCTATCAAGAATTTGTAACCAAGACAAGATGTCATGTGGTGATAACTGCGGTGTGGGTGATCTCACTGTTTCTTCCTTTCTTGATGTTTATAAAAGATAACGCGAGGTAGTTGTTCTTCGCAGCCATAACGTATCTTTTTCCAATATTTGTGGTTATTTTGTGTTATGCTTTTATTTTTAAGGCGGCCAGAACACAAGGTAAGAGAATAAGGGAAGAACGTCATCACTCCAATGACGACACACTCCGTGGCGTTGTTAAAAATTTGAAAGCCATCAAAACAATTGGACTCGTTTTTAGTGTTTGTATCATAACATGGATTCCCTGTTTCATTCTGACTATTATTACTTATCATTATAGTACAACGAAGAAGGATTGCCTCTTTGAGAAACTGCTTTCATTAGCATGGCCATGGGTTGAGGCAACTGCGCTAACTTCATCAGCTATCAACCCATTCATATACTACTTCAGAAATGGCGAATTTCGACAAGCTTTTTGCAGTACCTTTTATTCGTTTCCCTGTCTTTCTGAACCAAAGAATGTCTCAGATCTCGGCCTTAAAAAAGAAAGAAAAGAGGTGGCGACGAATGATGGAACTCGAGGCGACTTTGGGCAAATAGAGACCGAACTATAATAGAAACTCATGGAACAAACGGCACGTCAACAAACCAGGTTGCCTCTCGGAAACAGATGCTGAGCGAAATGAGGGCCGGTTTTAGCTACACTCATCTCAAATCCTCCTGTAACAAACATGAATTCAAAAATAAATAAAACATTCGACTTTTTTGTGTCAAACAAACGAGTCCTTTCCCTCTATAAGTGGTAACTATTCTTTTATTTTCTCCGTCAGACGGCCGCAACCTGAATCTTAATTATCAACTATGGTCATTAACTCTCGGGGAACCTAAGATGAACTTAACACTTATGTACGAATACGGAACCGAACCATTTATTATTCAGGTCATTACATACTTTACCCGGAATCCATTGTTGTAATTGTTTATCAGAAATGAAACACAGCTCTTATTAACCAGTCCTTCAGGAAAAACGGATTTTGATCGCTGAACTTTCCGCCGATCATTAGTGCCCATACCCCCATGATTGTCATTTTACCTTCCTCTTTTGATCAGTAGGATCTGGAAACTAACTTATAAAGAAAATGAGACGTTGATCCATGAAAGATGATGTTGACAGGTGATCAACTCAAGATGATTGATGCATCATCTGTCAATCATCCCAGCATTAATTCACCCCGACAGTATTTTCCAATTCTGCCACTTATGTCTTAGTGATTTATTCACATCATGCAAAGCCAATATCTTGTGAATATTAACTGCTGAAGCAGTGTCAGTCGAGATTGGTGTTTTTTTTCCTTTATCTGAAGCAAGGAGAGAATAGTGGCTGCCTAGATTTTTATTTCAAACTACTCCTTTTGTCGCAAAAGAACTAACATGAATACTA